AATATATAAAACCCAAACAAGGAAATTTTTGCCCTTTTTTTTCTTTTCTTAAGAATCTAGGATGTTTTCACGATTAATCAACATAGTTTTTTTTTCTTTTTCTTTTTTTTATAGAAGTGCTTATCCATTAGTGCTCTATTGGAAATTTTATTGAACACTTTTCAAACGTATCGTTTCTCACCAAGTTTTACAAACAAGTCAATAATTGAAGTGGGTACAATGCATCAAACAATAAATTGATTTAGTGGTTATATGTTTCAAATGAAAAAGTCAGTTGTTCTATAGGGTTCTATGGCAAGAGCAATAGCAACCAAAAACAAAATTTGCTTTATGAAAAGATCCAAAATGCTCATATACTAACCGGGGGCTCCATTAGGTATCATGACCATCTCTCATTTTAGCATCATATCTTCCACTCTCACCCCCTTATCTTGTGAAAAATAAGAAAACCAACAATTGCAGGAGACCTCCAAACAGCAGAACATCAACAACGTCTTAATCTTGTGAAAAATGGAGAGAGAGAAGATCAGGGAGGGCAAGGCTCAGAGAGAGAGAGAGAGAGGGATGGAGTGGGCAAGGGGGAGAGAGAGTGAGTAAAAATGGTGCTCTCTCATAAGGCCTGAAGCTTTTGGATCACTAACAAAGAATGGTAAGGAGAGATAGATGGGGGATGGCAAGGCATGAGAGTTAGAAGAGGGAGAGAGAATGGGGAAGGCGAAGGGGGGGAGAGAGAGGAGAGGGGTGTCAAAGAGGGGATAGAGTCGTTGGCCAAAATTCAAAATTCCCTCGTTTTTTTTAGTTATCTTTTTAAGTTTTTAAGCTAAAAGTCTAATAAAATTTCCTTTCATATTAGCTTTGGTCGTCAAATAATGTGAGTGTAATAAATGTTAAAAGGTGCTTTACAAGTCACTCTAAAATTTAAATATTTAAAATAATATTAGATCGAGTAGATCTACGATCACTTAAAATCTTAAAAAATAATAGTCTAGATATAACATTACAATATGCACTATTTACAAAACTTGAAATCTATTTTTTCTCATGTCTATACATTTTGAGGTCGAGATGATTGAATTTGAGGGTTTTTCATCAATAAAATAATTTCTTCTAGTAAAATTTTGATGTGCGCCTTAATTTGATTATGTAGGGCCTCACCCTTATATAAACTTTTTCCTTGTATCCATTCTCTAAAAATAAAATAATATTAGGTGTGATATTATGATTAGGGAAAGGTTTCTATGCTTTCCCTACAACATAGAAGTTCTATCCTCGCCCTGCCATCCAGCCGTCCAATTTTGATCAAGAGAGCCACTAACCGTTTGATCTTAGATTCAACGTCTCAAAGTATTGTATTTTTAGTTTTTTTTTATACAAATTATACGAATATAAAATTTGGTACATACTATCTTCTCATTGGGTACGTACTACCTATTAAAATAGGTACGTGCTACCTATTAAAAATATTAAAAATAATTTTTCGACAAATTATAATGATCAAAAAACCCATTGAAACTTTCAGAGGTATTTTGATCATTTTATTTTATTGAATTTTTTTTTTATATATATATATTTTCACTAATGCGAGATTAATAGAGGAATGGACGTCCAAAATTTGGTGTCAACATAGTTTATAAAAAAAACTTAAAAATAAAATAGCGTAGAGACGTGACATTGTGATTGGGACAATCTTAACCCTCCATTCAGAATGGACGGTTGGATAAGTGGACGGTTGGATAAGGGGGAAGATAAAAATTCTATGTTGTAGGGGAAACATAGAAAGCTTGTCTTAAAGCTATCCCAACCGGCCATTTGATAGACACTAGGTGATATTATGACTAAAATAATAATAAGTGCACTTTATTCAATTGGTATAAGGTTGACACCTTATATAAACTTTTTCTTTATAAATGTGTCATATTTGAAAGATCCATTTAATCATATTATCTACATTGTATTCTTGTGAGATACCGGTAAGTGTGAATGGTTTCATCTATATTTTTGGAATAGTCTGTTACATTTTCCTATGAGCACTTATACTTTGTTCTTTCAGGAGCACAGTTCACTTCTACCCTCTTGGTCGAATGACTTGCTTAAGATATTTGATATTTTGGGAACCACTTAAGAATCACTAGATGATTATTCTTAAAAGAAAAAAAATTGAAATTTAAGCTTTTTAACACTTAGATCTCACCATCTAAAAATGGACGGTTTTTATCCAATCTAGAGACATTGTTTTTTCCAAGTGCTTACCACAAAATTTGGGGTCCTAAAATAATGTTGGGTGGGATTTTATTCGAGAGAGTAAATACACATTATACTCCAGGAGTAGAATATCTTTTGGGTTTTCGAAAAAAAAAACCTTTCCAAAAAATTATAAACCAATTTGAATGATCGCTGTGAATGTAAACTTTTTGTAACGGTTTTATTTTGGTGAACTTCTCTCTCTACTTCTTAATCAACCAGCTGTTTGAATGTCATTACCTGTTGCATTTTAAAAAAGACAATTGCAATATAAAATGTGAAAAACGTTTTTGAAACTAGAACTGTAAAACTTTGAAATAACAGTCTCATTTGAAGTTCTCAAATCCCAACTTTGGCTATTCATTCCTATGATATTCTACGACCTTAGCCATATATTTTTAGGATATTTATTTCATATTTGTGAGAAATAGTAGAACTTTCCAACAAAAAAAAAAAAGCTAATTGAAATATTTTTTGATATCTTATATTTATATTCATATTTTTTTTCTCTTTTTCTTTTTCAGAAATGTATAAATGAGACCGTTTATCTTTTATGCAAGGAGGTCACAATCATAATTGACCGTTAGATTTGAAATCAAGTGGTTGATGATATGTTATCGTTTGGGCATAAAGTCAAAAATAAATTTTTTTGAATGCTGTTACGTACTTTTATCCAATGGTTTAAAAAACGGATCGGTGACCCGGATCGGGCTTCCAAAAAACCGATCCGGATCGGCGAATCGGCGATCCGGATCGGGAATCGGGTGAATCGGTCAGAATAAAGCTTAAAAAAAATCCGAAAAAATTATTAAAATTCATTATAAATATTGTTTTTTAGGAATTCAATAAGAAATGAGGGTACTCTATTAAGAATTTTCAGGTTTTTGAATGAATATGCGAATATTGATATGTTCTTTCGCTGCATGAACCGCCATTCAGCATTTAATTTACATTACACAAAAGGATAAACATATAATTATCATGGAATAAGTGTGTCAACATACATAGACTACAATAAAGCATAAAATTAGTAACATATGATCTAAAAATAAAATGATAAACGACGTTATTGTTCTTCTTGGTCACGCTGGTGCCATTGATTGAATTCGTTTAACAATTCATTGATTCGATCTAAAAACGAATCATCGATATTAGCAGGCCTCTGACTATTCCCAAATCCCTGAGTGTTAGTGTTTTGTTGTGTTCCCAATCTAAAATCCTCGAAGATTGTCCATCCTTCATGCTCACCTGCACTGTCGTGCTCATCTCTACACTGTTGCTGTTGGGACTCGATATGTGAATATTATGGCTGGGATAGTGGCCTCAGAATCATCATCTTTCTCATTTTTCTCTTTGAATAATATGGATTAAAAAAAAAAAAACAAAATTTTCAAAAAAATCGATCATGGATTAAAAAAAAAAATCACAAATTTTCAAAAAATTCTATCATAGATTACAAAAAAAAATTCGATCATGGATTAAAAAAAAAAATCACAAATTTTCAAAAAAATCTATCATGGATTACAAAAAAAAATTCGATCATGGATTAAAAAAAAAAAATCACAAATTTTCAAAAAATTCAATCATGGATTACAAAAAATTCGATCATGATTACAAAAAACGACAAACAAAAAAAACAAAAAATTCAATCGTGGATTACAAAAAAAGAAAAAACCAATTACGATCATGGATTACAAAAAATACGAATCAAGTATTAACAAAAAAATCTAATACAATAGGAATTAAACGAAAAAAAAAAAAAAAAGAAAAAAAAAAAAAAAAAAAAAAAATTAACCGTACGGACTCGCCGATTCCGTACAGTGAATCGGCGAGTCACTGTACAGAATCGTCCGGTTCTCTCTAGAACCAGACGATTCCCGTTTGTTTCGCCGATTCGATCCGTCGATGGCGATTCCCGAGTCGAACTGGGCGAGTCCGGTTCGACTCGGCGTTTTTTTAAACACTGCTTTTATCTATTAGATTTCACGTCCAATGTCTAAAAGTAATGGTGACCGCCTTGCATAAAAACTAAATGTTCTCATGTTATACAATCCTTTTTTCTTCCCCCAAAATGTTCCCAATTTGAGATAAGCAGTTCCAAAATGATGTCTTTGTCACGGTTTCGGGATGCTAATTCCAAAGTGATGTTCTCATATACAAAGCACTGGTTTAGAACTTTATATTTCCATGTTTTGTACATAGAAAAACTTGTTTGAAATTAACAGTGCCAAACCAGTAACAAAAGGGTCTATTTGAAAATAGAACCAGTGATAAAGATATAAGTTCAGAGTTAGAAGTATTTGATAACTATATGAGCCAGTTATTTGTACACTAAAACACTTTCGGCATAAAAAATCTCTATAATGGCTCTAAAATCAATTCTAACATCGATAATGAATGAAATTCAAAACTAAAAAATAGTACAGATCTACCGGATCTCTGAACATTTATTTTTAGGGCAAAATAGATTGTCTAGATAATTTATTACATTAACCATATATTTAGAGCTTGAAATCTTTGTTTTTAATAACTTTTCATAACCATAATGTTCAAGTTAAGATGATTGATGTAAAGGTTTTTTAGTACCTGACTTTTAATTTTTGATGAGTCATTAAATGAGGCTTTACTTATTTTGATTGTTAGGGCTAATTCCACTTATTCTAGGAGACTTAGCTTTTTTATTTTTTTGAAACGTTTAGCTTAAATGTCCCATACTTCTATATCCATTCTCTCTCTTGAAATAAATACCATTCATCTATGCTGCTGTCTCGCCTCAGCAATATTTCTCTCTCTCTAAATCTAACATTAACTACTGGTGCCGATCGTCCTTCCTCAAATCTCACCCCACGAAAACCATCAAACCTCAGAACCCAACGGTATAACTATCAAACCTCTCTCTCTCTCTCTCTAAGAACAACAGTGCCATCTCCTCACGGTGTGGAAACCCAAAAGGGAGAGTAAGGAACCGGACCCATCTCCATTATTTGGGTTCGGGCTCACCATCTTCTCTCTCATGCCAGAGGGGAAGGATATGCAGAGGAGAGAAGAACCCAAAAAAACCCTGTTTTCTCTCACCACCAATGCTTGGTTTCAAAGGCAAGCCTAATTGGGCTAAAATCTGGGTGGCCCCAACTCCTCTCAAGCATGGTGGCTTCAAAATGCATATCAGAGCTTCAGAAGAAGATGGAGAACCCAACAAAACAGGCCTTGATCTATTCTCTCTCCTTTCTGATGAGCTCTTGGTAAGAATTCTCACCAAAATTCCGTCAAATAACCAGAACCCATGTTCTCTAGTTTGCAAAAGATGGCTTAAAATCCATGGCCAACTGGTTTCTCACATAAAAATTCATGATTGGGCTTTTATAGAGAGTGGTAGGCTAATTTCGAGGTTCCCGAACTTGACTGATGTTGATTTGGTACCAGCATGCATAAAAACGCCTAGAAACTCCGGCATTCTCATAACCCACGATTTAATCAAGACCCATTTGAGCTCTGAGTCCACTGAGCGATTTATACGAAGAGAAGACCAAATTTCAGCGGAATCACTCGACCGAGGGCTCGAGATTCTCTCTCAAGGATGCCCCAATCTGCGAAAACTCAGTCTAATCGATATCCAGAGGAGTTTTGAGGATTCGGGTCGCTCATTTTCGACGATCGATAGCAAGCTCAGCGAACAAAACCAGTCGGCTATAGACACTGGGTTGTCAAAAATTGCATCCCATTGTTCGATGCTTCAAGAATTGGAGCTCCACCAATGTAGTGATTGGAGCTTGAGGGCCATTTCAGCTTGTCGCAACCTCCAAATACTTAGGCTAATTGGTTTCATTGATGGGTTTTATGATTCGGCAATATCAGATATTGGTTTAACAATCTTAGCCCATGGGTGTAAGAGATTGGTTCGACTAGAACTGAGTGGGTGTGAAGGGAGTTATGATGGGATTTGTGCCATTGGAAAGTGTTGCTTTATGCTTGAGGAGCTTACTATTTGTGACCATAAAATGGACGAAGGATGGATTGCTGGTCTATCATTTTGTAGTAATTTAAAGACTTTGAGATTGGTGGGTTGCAAGAGAATTGACCCAAACCCTGGACCCACTGAGCATTTGGGGTTTTGCTCTGCTCTTGAGACATTGCAGCTTCAGCACTGCAATGTGAGGGATAAGCAAAGCATGAGTGCTTTGTTTCACGTTTGTGGGGCTGTGAGGGAGCTTGTCTTTCAGGATTGTTGGGGCTTGGATAATGAGGCCTTTGCACTAAGCAGTAGTTGCAGGTATGTTGGTTCCCCATTAGTGGCTCTCATTACTTGTTTCTTTGTTTCCATTTGTTATAAAATATTTTTTTCTTTAATTTTTTATAGTTAACTATCATATGTGCTTACTGCCTAGAAATATTGCTTACAAGTTATTAATAAGATGTGGATGTCATTTTTTTAAAAAAATAAGTTCATGCTGTTATGGGTGCTTGGATGTGCATATTTTGTTCAATTTATCTATATGGTTGTGTGAACATAAATGCATGATTCATGTGAATTTATGTCAATTAGTTAGCTTGTAATGGCCAGCTAATGTGTTTCTTCTTTTCTCATCAAAGCCTAAGAGTTATCTACAATAGATTTATGTAAGAAATGTCATTGGTTTAGCATGTGGAGTCCTGCAAGATTTTTATTTTAACTCAAATAAATGTTGCTATCTACAACAAATTTATACAAAAAAAACAATCTATCAAGAGCAATTCACTTTCCAGCTCATTTATTAACCATTCTTTTTAGGCATGAAGTTTTGAAATGGGAATTGTAACTTACCCATATGCAATTTGAAACATGCAGCTGGAAGGTGTCAAACCCTTTGCGCACCCTCCATCTTTTCTATCATGCACCTAGTGTTGTATTATTAATATTTCAGCTTGTCCTAGAGACTCTCCTAAAATTCATTAATCCCCCTAAAACCTCCTCCTTGATATCATGTTGTCATTGTGTCATGAGCACTCAGAAACCCCTTCCTCATATCATCTTATATGATTGCACTATTCGCCACATTCCCTTCGGGTTTGTCTCATGGCACTCATATATGTCCAAAAGAACATTCCCCATCCACCATCCTCTTGGTAATAGCAGTAGAATTCCATTAGACCATAGCAAACTCTGTTCTTATATTCTTCTTAATATACTTGAACCCCATTCCTCATTGTAACATTTTTATGCTATCAGCATCACCACATTCCTTTTGGTCCACTTCATAGCTCAAACAACCACTCTGCCCATTTGACCAAATGAAATTTAAAAGCTTCAAGTCACTTTTCTGTAAAAGTCCCAAAAGTGTCTTGGATCTTGATCTTTCAGGCTGAGTCTTGGAAGCTCTTTTTATTGCATTAAAATAAATAATGGAAGGGCCTCATAACTGTCAATTGGTATGTCTTGGGAAGAGTTTGCCCACCACACCAGATAGTGGTGCTGCTATTAAAAATACCATTCCCTTCCCCATTAATGCCATAGAGATGGAAAGACCCGTTTTTTTCCATCTACATTGTGCTTTCTACAATAGACCGCACTCATTGTGCTAAGTTTCCTTACATAGATGCTGGAAAACGAAGCATTGGCTATTGACATTGCCATCATGTACAGGAACATGGAGTGTATTAGTAAATTGCCATCATGGCCTGAATCAATGTGATACTTCCTCTAGATAATTTCTTCTCCTGCGAAGGAATAGCAAAACATGTCTCAAAATTTTCTGTTATTAGATTACTTAGGATTGCATACACATAGCAATGTGCGCAGATTTGTTGCAGGTAAGTTGTTGGATTCATGAACCCTAATCTTTGCCACTTCATTTATCCCCTGTCTTGTTCCTTCTCAGTACCCACTACTTGTCTTTATTAAATGTCAACTTTCTATGCAGTCTACATCATGGACTCCAAGATCAATATGTTGGCGCCTCGAAAGACAAAAGCTGTCAAGAAAGAAATAAAAAAGACAAATATTGTCTCTTCAATAAGACATTTGAAGTCACCAATAACCTCTGAACTGAGTCGAAATTTGATGTCTCTTCAACATGTGAACTCTTTTTTTTGTTTGTTAGTTTTTTCAAGTTACGACAAGGCAACCTTCCTCTTGGAAAGGGTACCATAAATTACTCATTATTTCTTTAAACCAGTGCAGACAAATGAAGTTCAATGTTAAAGAGGAATTGGACCACACGGCATCATACAAAATTCAAGGAGAATGGCAAGGTGATCTTGGTCTCTATAGTGCTCCCTGCAAAATCTATGGGAAGTAGTCCACTCCAGAATTATTTAAATGCTTCAAGCTTCTGTGTTATAAGGTTCTCTCTATTATTTGACAAGGTAAAGCATGAGGGGACCATCTTCATAACAAGGCCCTCTCTTAACTTAAGCATCAACCCTTAGTTCTCGTAGTATGAGAATTTCCTCAGAAGCTCCCCTAGGAGGCAAAGACACTGAACACATCTCTAGGGGTATAATCTGATGAAACTCAGCCCAACCGCCTCAACCTTGGCTCTTGGAACAAGAAACTATTGACCCTATTCTATACCTACTAACGTGCATTCCTTTGTTTCTTCTCTTAAGGCCTCAATATTCCATGATACTCTTTTTTGTCTATAAATAACATTTTATTTAAAAATAAAATACATCTGTCATCACACAAGTAAAAAAATCTCCTCAAGGATATCTGATAACCGCCTAGGGCGGGTGTCTCCTTAATAGCCCATGTGATGACACTGTGGGAATTGCCATTTACAATCAATAGATCGTCCCTTGGAGGTAGGCAAAACTCGAGTCCATGATAATGCTTTAGCCCTGGAAAATGAGGAATGGCAAAAAGAGATCAGTCTTGATTGAGTAATAAGGACCACCCAGCATCTCTAAGGATGCCTCTACAATTTTTTCTAGCACGTGACAAAATCTTCATGCCACATTGCTTGAGAGAAAAGTATACTCTGATTCATTGGCTTAGGTTTGAGGAAGTTAGCTTCAAAAGTTTCTTGGGCCCCTTAGTTTAATCTCTTTTGGGCTTGTCCACTTCAACCCTTCCCAAATTCAGCTTAACTTCTTTGGGCCAGTATGCTTGTCAATCGGACACCTGTTACAGTACATTTAGGCTAACTCAGTGGGAACTACTTTACTGGGTGTCTGTTCACACCTACTAATGGCCACTAGAAAACCTTGTAATGCCACATGTCCAGATTTTTCATAAGAAGAAACTTCTGCTTAGTCTTGTCTTTGAGCCACATCTTGTTACATCATCACTAGTCATATATCATCCTCCATAGTCTTGTCTTTGAGACTCTAAGAAGTCAGAAGAAAAGGGCCTTACCTTTTGGTGTGAGGCCAGGCCACATCATCTTTAATGATTTTATAAATGATATTTCTAGTCATTCTTTCTATCTACGAAAGGGGCGACTCTTGTAGCCTAATCGTCACTGAAGGGATGCCATTTTTCTTGCCTAAATTTGACAATACCTTTCATACACCTCCAAGGAGCCATCTCATTTGCTTTCTGCCCACCTCTTCCTCATTGGTCATCACCAGAGGTGGACCTCATAAATACCCTGTGGGGCCTAAAAAACAAAGCCTACTACAAGACACCCTGTCACGGTAATTTTATGAAAAATCAGTGAGAACTACTTTGCTGGGTGTGTAATGGCCACTAGAAAACATTGTTAATGCCACTTGTCTAGATTTTTCATCAGAAGAAACCTCTGCTTAGAGGGTTCAGGGGAGTTTTGTGAACCACTACTGGCTATATCTTCACTATCACTAGTCATATCATGTTCTTGTCTTTGATATTCTCTAACAAATGTCAGAAGAAAAGAGCCTTACCTTTTGGCATGAGGCGGTATCAGCTTTAATGGTTTTATAAATGATATTTCTAGTCTATCTCCATCTAAAAGAGTGTTGGTTTTTGTAGCCCAACTGCCAAACAAGGAATGCCAATGTTCTTACTTAAATTTGACAATAACTTTCATAAACCTCCAAGAAGCCATCTCATTTACTTTCTTCCCCTCTCCCTCATTGGTCATCTCCAAAGTTGGACCTTGTATTACCTGCAGGTTCCTAATAAATGAATCCTACTACAAGACAACCAACCCCCAGCCACCTCGCCAGGAGAAAAGGATTATAGATTAGAGTCCCCCAAAAAAGAAGTTAATTGTAGCTCAATTCATATAAAAAAAAAAGGAAAAAAGTTGAGTTGTACGTGCATTTGTAAGGTGCAACTGTTGAGATATGTAACTAGTTGTGTATATTTGTATGTGTGGTGGTAGTTTTCCATTTGTGATACTGGTGCCATTTTAGTCAATTTTGACCTTTTACACTCATATTGAAGTTAAGTATCAGTGGAGCTCATATTCTTACCAAATTTAACTTTTGTTTACACACTATTATGCCAAGCATAATTATAAACTCTGTGACTCGGGGTTGTACTCACCCGAGTCACTCATAGCGGGCAGTAATAGATGTAAGTTAGATCTGGAACCTTCTCGATGGAATTTAAAAAATGTGATTAGTTTCATAGGGATTTCTACAGGATGGGTTACAATTCTCCACATTGTCTCAAATTTATAAATCCATCTTGCTAGTGGTTGCCAGTATTGCTACTCTTGTAAGGCTAGGAGTGCAAAATGACAATTTTCCTTCATTTGTGGTTGACACGAAGGGTTATGCGTATGAAAAAAGTCTGTTTTGCCGCATTTGTTTTTGAGGAATGGGGCTGTTTTACCACATTATTTTATAAAAATAACGCCAATTAGGCATTTGACATGTGCTCAATGTTATGCATCAGTTAACACAGTTTTGAAATTAGATACACTATTAGGACCACATTAAACAATTTTTATCAATAAAATAAGCTGACATTTCATCAAAGCTAGGGTCAAATTGTCAATTTATACCTTATAATCTCACACTTGTGGGATTCAAGTACAGTTGCAATATGAGATGGTTTCTAAATTTGGGCTTATGTGGATTATTACATCCCATCTTGTAAAGATCTCTTTTTCTTTTATTAGATATCTCCCGTTTGTGAACCCTTTATCCTTGAAAGTTCAGTGTATAGTTGTTGGAAATGCTTGTGATTCCAAAATCGTTTCAGGAATCGGCATCACGGAATCGGGGGTGGCCAGATGATTCCTATGGTCATGATCGCAGTTCATACGATATATATCAGGTGAAACGGGATTCCTACCATTTGGGATTCACGCTCCCATCCAATAGGAATCGAGATTCTTACCTGTTGGAATCGCGTTCCGATGAACTTGGAATTGACATTCCTAACTTGCGGGAATCATGCTCCAAACCACTTGGAAACAAGCCAGAAATTATCACAAAACTAGTTCCAAAAGACGAGATTTAAGGTTATAAAATTCTATATGTAAGAATTCCTTAGTATTGGACTCTGTATATTGAGTATGCTTACCCACGGCTACCCTATTATTAGAATCAAAGTCTTTCACAGCCCTCCCCTAACATTGGAGTCAATGTATTGAGTGCCCTTCATCACAGTTCTGCACTAGTATCCGAAGCAAAGGTCGAGACCCTTTATTAAGTACTTTCCTAGAGCTTTTCGATTGAATAAAGAAAATAAAATAACTTTATTTGTTAATAATGTGTTTTAAAAAATACACACTAAAAAAAAATGTATTTTAAAAAATAAACACTAAAAAAAAATGTATTTTAAAAAATAAAATATTTATTACAAAATTTTGAAATTTAGGAATGATGTAGAGTATGTTGACACCGATAGAGTGTTTAGATACCCATCATATATTAGTTATTAAATAAATTTTAAATAATAAAAATTTTCAAATAATGTTTAAAAAATTCTAAACTATATCTAAAAATTGGAAGCGAGGTCTCATATTGGTTGAATCACAATCTTGTGCACTTGTGAATCGCAAAATTTGGTGGGGTTTAATCTAAGATTCCAAAGACATCGGAATGATATTAAAAAAATGTGGAATTGTGATTCCTAACTTGCAGGAATCGCTACCTAGGGTGGACGATTCTGATATCTATAGTTCAGGGTTTTGCTACACACATATGTATATATATTTGCCAGTCCAAGAATACATGTTAATCTGTAATTGAACAAAACTCCCACTTAATGGGAAGTTGTCTCTTTGGCTTGTCATTCTAGACGACCTCTCTTTTATGAGGTTATTGGATGGGAATACGGTCACTAACCTAGTCCCATAGTCTAACTTATGCAAATCGCATCAAGAGGCTGGCTGGACTGAAGCACATATTTTTGAATTTATGGAAGTGTCTACAATTGCAATATCTTTAAGTTAGACAGGTTGGGATTGTTTTATTTATTGAATACCATTTCGTAATTTGTCATTAAGGGGCTAATTTGGGTTTTAATTTGAAGCCTAGGATAGATTAGAGTGGTGTGGAGTTCTCATGTAATTCATAAGTTAAACAAGAATAATGTTTTTTTGAGTTCCCATGAGTCTAAGAGTCAATGATGTGGAGTTCCTATACATAGGAATTTGGTTGCATGAATGGGGACTTGCAACATGGCAACTTGGTAGCATGGCATACAAGTTGATTGCATAAGGGTACTTTAGTAATGGTGCGAATCCGACACCCGGAAAAAAGAGATCTGAGACCAATTTCACAATAGTAACTCTACGATTGCTCTAGTTGATCAACAAAGGAGAAAACTTCCTCAATCGCTGTCAAGGAAGGAAAGGAACTAAGAGATTTTCATCCTTATATCTCACTAGTACACCTAGTGGAGGCCTTCCAACTCACAAGTTGGGCAATCTCTTTCTCTCTACACTCAGTAGGAGCATAATAATTCTACTTCATTTTATTCATCGACAACAACTACATCATGTGCAACAATGTAGAATATATATGAACCTACTCGTGTGCCCTAGATAATGACCAAAATAATCCTAACAAAATAGGAATATGACTAAACTATCCCTATACTGTATTCCCAATGTATTAAAATGAACTTGCGTGCAATCTCCTACCACGTTCTTATGTAGCAAGTCTCCATTCATGCAACTAATTTCCCATACATAGGAACTCCACATCGACTCCTTGACTCATAGAAACTCAAAACAACATAACTCTACTTTGACATACGAATTGCATTGGGACTCTAAACCACTTTAATCTATCCTAGACTTTAAATTAAAACCCAAATTAACTCCTTAATGACAAATTACAGAATGGTACTCAACCAATAAAAGAATCCC